TTTTTTTTACATCAAATAGAAACATTTGGGGGGGGGGTAAGAGTTAGAAAAAAAAATTAAAAATTTTGTTTGAAGCACCCTACTATATATATATATGCATATTATAAAACATGTTTTGTTATTTTCAGATCAATTAAAATCGGGACCATGGACAAGGGCGGGACATTACACATGACCGCCGCAACACCACCATGGCTCTGCTGATGCGGCGGTTAATTACTGATGCACAGGTTTGTAACAACACTGATAAACCATGTCTCTAATTACCATTTAGGCCCAGTTAACCCGTAATTTAACACCTGATCAAACTGTCCGACAGACAGATTTTTCTTCCATTAAATTTATTTAACCACATGCACATCAAAGACCGCATACAACGTTAATGAATAGTTATATAAAAACATTATTTATTATCACGTCAGTACAAGAAAAAACTAACATAAATGAAGAAGGGATTCGCCTAGAATCTATATCTAGGCCCTAGATAGGTATTCGTATTGAAATTTATACTAAGCGGTTATTTTTTTATACGTAATCTTGCTTACAAAACTGCATGGTTACCATTACGTTTACCATTTGATATTTGTGTTCGTTACATCATACATATCTTAATAAATATCAGTCAAAGAACTATTTTTCCACAAACTAACTTTTTGGATGAATACTGTAGTTCATATTTATGAAAAAGATGAAGCAGCTGAATGGTTTTTAAATTAACCTATAACCTAGCTGTTTTTCGCGAAGTCTGTATGTTTCGGAAGGATTTGGCGATACTGACTTCATACAGTGCTATTAGTGTTAGTGGCTTGACAAATGACATGTATTAACCTAACCTAACCTATAACCTAGCTGTTTTTAGCGAAATCTATGTGTTTCGAAAGGATTTGGCAACACTGACTTCATAGAATGCTGTTAGTGACGTAACATGACAAATTAATGAATTAATTCTTACTCTCTACGAACTGTAATATTTTTTTTCTTACTGGTATTACAATGAAAAATATCACGACAGGATCAAGCTTGGTCCAAACTTGACCCAAGATCGTTCAATTCTGGTCCGAAATTGGCAACCAATTTTAAATTAAATGGATTTTCTTTTTAGCCCAAGCCTGGTTGACAAGCTTGGTCCGCGACATAATTAGGTAGCTAATCAACAATATTAGCCCAAAATTGGGTGACCAATATTAGGTCAAGAATTGGTGAACAATATTAACTAAATTAAACAGTTAATATTATGCCAAGACATGATGAACAAAATCAATTCAAGATTGGGCAACTGTGTTGGTTTTCATCTTGGTCAATACTTCATTGCCCAATATTGGATATAGCTTGGCTTTATATGTATACCTAACCTTGACGAAATTTGACGAAATATTAACATACCCACACTGGACATTTGAAGTTTGCCCAAAATTAAGACCGTTATTGACAAGCCAATGCTTGGATACCCCAGTATGTGACCAAACTTGACGAAGATTTGGACCTACCGTCAAGTCCGGCTACAATGTTAACTACCTACTCTAATGCCTATTATCACAATGTTTGACAGAGCATGCAATTTATAAAATAACAGGACTGATGACCTTGTGATGATGATGATGATGAGGTATATATGAGGACTGTTCAAAATGTATCGCAAACTTTTTTTTTTTTTTAAATGATTTATTTATTCATGAATATCTATTTTGTCCCTTTCAATCCCCACCAGGTATTACACACTTGTGCCAACTTTTTTCCAATCCTCGAAGCACATCAAAAAATACTTTCTTCTTCAGATCCTCCTTCGATGCCGTCTTTATCTCCTCAATCGTAGCGTAGCGTCGTCCTTTCATTCGCCTCTTCAGTAACGGCAACAAGAAAAAGTCACAGGGGGGCAGATCTGGGGAACACAGTGGCTGCGGCATTATTAGTATGTTTTTTTGGCCAAAAATTCGAGCACAAGCAACGATGTGTGAACAGGGGCGTTATCATGGTGCAAAAGCTAATTTTTGCTTCGCGCTAATTTATAGGTAATACTCTTTCTTGACCCTTCTCCCCTGCAGCAAGAACTCATGATGCACCACGCCCCTGCAACCGAAGAAAACTAAGCAAAATCTTCACATTCGACTTGATTTGGTGCACTTTTTTTGGGTTTAGCTCATGCAGCAGCTTCCATTGGGATGATTGAGCACATGATTCGTCACCAGTTATGACCCTCTGGAACAAATTTGGATTGTCGCGGACAGAGCCTAACAGCTCCTTAGCAATGTTAGTGCGATGCTGTTTTTGGTCGAAATTGAGCAATTTTGGTACGAATTTCGCGGCGACCCGTCATTGATAAAAATCGAATGGCAGAAGCCAATCGATTTGTTTGGGTCCCCAGCAACTTCTCTAACAATGATTAGACGATTGGTCAATACTATTTTCTTCACTTCATCAATGTTTTCGCCTATTGTTGACGTGCTGGGGCGTCCGGCACCCTCTTCGTCTTTCACATCTTCTCGGCCCCCTAAAAACATTTTGTACCATCGATAAACGTTGCTTCGGCCCAAGGTAGCTTCACCATACACCACAGCCAACATTCAGAATGCGTCCGCGCACTTAATTTTGTTTTTCACACAAAATTTAATACAGATTCTTTGATCCATTTTTTTGAATAAGCAAAAATTTAAGACTAGCCAAAATACGTGCATACAAAGCAGCTGTTAAAAATTAACTGAACATTCAACGTGGCCGAACTTGTTGGTATAAGTGACAGACATGAGTATCGATATAAAACCACAAAAAAATCGAAAATCGAATATACGTAACTGGCGGAAATTCGAGATACTTTTTGAACAGACCTCGCATCATTTTAGAAACAGAAAATGTTCATTAAGGTGATTCAGGCGTGCCATAAGGATTCAAGAATAAATCTCCGTAGTGTAAACACAAACAGGGAAAATCTAATAGCTTTGACTTTCGATTAGAGTTAAATTCTACACACTGTTGTATAAACAGAACCCGCAGTTGTAACTCGGTCGTCTCTAGGATGCAAAAAAATTTAAATTGTTTTAGAAGTTGACTGATGACTTTTGAAATTGAAACTTAATTCATGGAACTTATTTAGTGAAACCCCGGAAAACATTTCTGGAATCCTTAGCTTGAAGTAAAATCGATGCAAGAGTGAAAATTAACCAAGATAACGTGATAAATGCGTACTGATTTATATTCAGCTTTATCACAGCGATATTTCTAGGGGTGTTCTATCGGTCGATAAGAAATTACATTGCGTTTTCCAATTACAGGCGGAGCATTAACTTATGTGTCACGAAGAATTATCACGTACTTAGCAAATTGCTTGAGAAAACTATTTTCGTGAAATTATTTCCCCTTGAACATAACATGCATCCAAATGATTTAATAAATACCGAACAATGGTAGCATCATGTAGAGATACCACCGATTATATCTTGTAAATAAATAACCAATAAAAAAAAACACATGTCATCATCATATGATCGTCAGTCCTAAGACTGCTTGGACACGCACCTTCATTCTTTCCTATCCTGAACTAACCTTGGCATTTTCCTAAAACCAGAACAACCCACACCCTTAACTATTTGTGAACAGTAATTTAATCTAGGCCTACCTGTACCCCTCCTGTCCAACTTCCATTTCTGCCTCTTATATGTCTCGAACTAGACCTGACATGCCTAAGAAGGTGTCTTACTAACCTATCTGGTCTATTTCTTATTGACTTCCATAGAGCCCTATGTTCTCCTATTCTTACTAATACCTCTTCATACAGCGCCGCACTCCAAACATATACTCCTTCCGTCCTGACTTATCTGACTTCCAAGATACCTAAAATCAGTCACTTTTTATAATTTTATGTCTCCTATCTTTATATTCGCTCTTTCCCTACTTTTTCTTCCTTTGCATACCAATATTTTTGTGTTACTTTTATTTACTAGTACCATGTAAGAATAGGAGAACAGAGGGCTCTATGTAAATCAATAAGAAATAGACCAGATAAGTTAGTAGGACACCTTCTCAGACATGTCAGGTCTAGTCAGAGACTTATTAGAGGAAGAAACAGGAGTTAGGAGGGGTAGAGGTAGACCTAGATTAGATTACTGTTCGCAAATAGTTAAGGATATGAGTTTGTTCTAGTTTTAGGGAAAGGCGAAAATTAGCTCAGGATAGGGAAGAGTGGAGGTACGTGTCCAAGAGTGGAGGTACGTGTCCAAGAGTGGAGGTACGTGTCCAACCAGTCTTAGGACTGACGTCCTTATAATAATGATGACCATGTAGGTAAGTGGGAGTAACAACATACTACAATATTTGAAAATTGGCCTTTAGAACTGTTATTTTTATTTCGAAGAAATGCTTTCTGGATTTTAATTTGACAACGTAAAATTCTAAAATTACCTTCTTCATTAAAATTACAATTATTCACAACACAATGCTGGGAGAATCCAGTTATTACACTATTTGACACTAATATACCTTTTGTGTTCTTTAAATCTAGTTTTAAAGGATCTGTCAGTAGGTCCTATATAATAGTTGGCATAACATTCTTTACAATAAAATTCGTAAACGCAAGATTTGCAACGATAATTTGTGTCTGAAATTTTATCATTTGAAAAAATAGTATTTAAGTATTTCTGCTTTAGTAGTTTACAAAATATTGCACTAATTTTAAGGTATATTTCTTACTTTTAGTATTAAGGCTTCTTTCACAATATAGGGTCCGCATTTATAAATTTTCAACCTCAATTCCTTTTCCGCAGATTCCTAAAGTTAGGTCAATTTTTCCTTCAAGGGGGACATCTTTTGATTACTAATTCATGGATGTAAGATTATCCTTCTAGATAAGGTGACATCCCCTTCAAGAATTTTAAATCACACGAGGGATCATGTGACACATCATTTTAAATGCATTAAAAATGTGCTGACATTTTTTTATTTTACTCTGTAATTAAATGTGGAAACTCTGTTAGAAATATAGGAAGAATAAATTGATAAAAAGTAGCTACTTGAAATAAATAGTGATAAGAAAGAGGTAGTAATCGCAATACTGAGTTGATTAAATGTCAACAAGTAGGTGACGTTTGTCCCAATTGTACATTGTTGTTATCGGACATTATGATTTTTAATTGTTAGTGCATTATTAGTGTTGTTGGGCATTATTCTTTTTTTATTTTTAGAATTATCTTGAAAATGGTTGTTAATTTGTTATTGTTGATCAATTTTGAACCAAACTATCTGAATTATCCTGGTTTACTGCATTACAGCAGAGAAAATTAAAATTGCCACTATCTATTTTAAGAACAATGAAAACCTGGAAAATTGCAAAAACTTAATCGAAGAATAAGAACCCCAGTCACGTCTACGTAAAAAGTTAGTATCTAAATTCTTGGAAACTGGATCTGCAGCTAATAAAAACATGAAAACCGTCACATTGTTCATAACGAGGATGCAGAGGTTGCAATTTTGGGACATGTTGAACTGAATCCCACATCAATCACCAGAAAATTGGAATCTACTTCAGAAGTAGAAGTCTTCAGAAGGTCTGAAAGAAACATCGATTCCATCCGTATAAAATTCATCTCGGGCTTGAACTTAATGAAGATGATCCAGATCATCGTATTCAATTTTGTGAGGAGATGAATAAAAGAATTGTGAACAATCCCAATTTTTTATATTCGATATGCTTCCCTGACGAATGCATATTCTTTCTTAATGATTACACCAGCATACATAATTGCAGATTTAATTTTTTATTATTTCTGTAACTTTTCAGTACTTAACTTTAATAAATAAATTAACAATAAAACACTATTTATTGTTTGTTCGATTAGTTTCATCTTTATTAGGACATTTTCAAGAATCAAATACTAGAAAATACGAAACTAGTCGAACAAACAATAAACAGTGTTTTATTATTAATTTATTTATTAAAGTGAAGTATTGAAAAGTTACAGAAATAATAAAAAAATTAAGTCATAATGGAGCTTCACAGAGTATCAAAGATGTCTATCAATTACATATAATTTGATTGATTTGAATTCTAGAATTATGAAAGAACAATATTCGCAGTCTATAAAAAAGTTGAGTACATGGGTTGGGGGTTTAAGTATTAGTAATGTTGGTCCATTTTTTCTAACACATAATTTAATGAGTGAATCTTACTCAATTTTCTTAAAGACTTGATATACTCTTGCATTGTGGTGATTATCGAAAATGACGACCGCGTTACCGAGAATGATGTACGTTATTAAGAATGTTTGAGAGGTACAATCGGAGACAAGAGTCCATAAAATTAAGTTTTGCAGCATATCATGAGGTACATAAATACTATCTATACTAAAAAAAAGAATACGGTTTGAGAGAAAANTTTTACAGGACACTGTGCAAAAACTATTGAGAACTCTAGAATTTATGATTTCTTATCTCTCTAAAGTATCATAACTCCTTCTCTAAGATAAAAGGGTGCAAAATGTAGTTAGCACCCAGAAATTTCATTTTTTTAATTTCATTCATAACTATCAGAACACCCTACCAAAAACCATGAAGATATACTAAGAGAGGACAAGAAAATACACTATGAATTTAAATTTTACACTATACATTCCGGAGTTGCCTGTAACGAACGTTGCATTGAAACGCGAAAACGGATGTAGACATTCCCACTACGAACTCGACTACGTAGCCGAGTAGAGGGGGGACATCCGTTGTATGATTTCGTTACATAGCAACTCGCATGAAACGAACTTACCCTACCGTGCGTAAAAAAGTTTCACTTCAAAAAGTTAATTAATTAGGGCGAATGGAAAAAACCATTAAATCTTTTACAAAATACTATATATTAAGTATTAATAAGTGTCAATTTGCAATGACCTATTGATTGACATTTAGCAAGTACTTTCTGAAAACCGTCAGACGAGGATCGCGATTTGAATCTCACTGTATCTTGGCAGCACGTCGTAGACCGTTCGAACAAAATATATACAACTTTATCTGCTATCTTTAGGCAGAGTTTGACGAATTACCACAAAGAGAGTAGTAGACGTCATCTGTAGAAAATTTCTACATTTTATGGTTTTTCAACAACGTCCATAAGAATTGTCGATATTTTGGTGTAGGCGCCTGTCACTTATCCATTGTAGGTTTTGTTTGTCAAGTGAATACTTTCGTATGGCCCTTATCAATCCTTTGAAATGCTACAGTTAGTAACAGATATCGGTAAAAGGTATCATACTGCCAATAACTTGAGATTGTATCAACTTCTTTCTAAGGAACAGTCGGTAATTCCTAAAGTCGGAGTCCTGGCCTGCCAGTTTTTATAAATTGCTGATCAAGAACTTAACATTCTTTATATTTTAACATTCATTTATAATAATAATAATAATAATAGTCTTTATTCCCGTTGATGTACAAGTTATACATATAGGATGCGTCAAGATACATAGGATAATATAATGGTATAAAATTATGATGTAAAGAGTATAAAATATAGAAATATAAAAAACTATTAGAGTATGTAGTAGTGTAGAGTATAAAATATATAAATATAAAAACTATGAGGGTAAGTAGTAAGTGCAATAATGGAAGTCTTATTCTAATTACGATTTATAACATTCTAATCCAATTATGGTACTTCTGTTTCATCTTCTACCAACATTTATCATGTTTAGGATTAGGGGCGGCTTTTCATTCCCTTTAACGTCATAACCAGCTTCTTGGCACATCCACTATTACTAAAATTGGAATTCCAATGTGTAACACTTTCTGACACGGATGATTTAGTACCGTATTTAAATACTCTTCTTCTTTATTGAAGTCGTCCGAGTCTTCTCCCCTTTTTACACTAAATTTCAAGTGATACGTTTTTGAAAACCCCTTGTAGATAGCTTTGGTACGTGGCTCTATCCAATCGGGTTGAATATGCGCCTGCACTTAGCGAGCTGCTACAACAACGTTGCCTTCACCCTCGACCAGTCGAACGCTTATTATTGCTCTCACCCTGTTCGGCAGGGGCGTTGTAGTTAAGGGTGCGTGGCGAACGTAACGTGCGGGTACGGGAAATGACTGGGGGAGAAAATAGACTGTGTGCGGTGCAACGTGCATACATACCTACGTGTGCATTTTATACCGTAGCATTATGCATGTGTGTATGTTTGAACAGGAGCTAGAGCGTTTCGTTTGAAGTGCATTCGGGAAAAAAAAAAACTGGTTGCTAACGTCCTATTATGCTCGTTATAAAGCAAAATAAGGGATGCAAGTGGTGATGATAGCCAAACGTTGAGTATTTTATCGGACGTCGACTGATGCTAAAATGAGTATGAAGCGTTTCAATTATGCGACCGTTTAATTTACTTAAAGGTAAATTTAACCTTTATGAACAAGCAATTTCAATACGTTTGCATATCCACCTTGCTTGGAAAGTAAATTTATTATACATAATGGAGTACGGGTAATTAAGTACAGAAAACTCAAGACTAATTTGTAAATTTCAATAAATTACTACATTTGACAAGATTGTTTCACCAAACTTTGACTTCTTCAGATTCACTGTACTTAGTTTCTGATGAAATTAAGCTATATTTTGACGAAACTATATTGTCAATAATGATGAGCAAAGTAAGACCGAGACCAAGTCTTAGTCTAAGTCTTGCTGAATTACTCTCGGTCTTGATCATGGTCTTGCTCTTTTAATCTGATACGTTCTTTTTAATAATTCTTCTAAGCACAAATGTTTATATTTACCGACATACCAATTGACTTAAAAATGACAAAATTTTCTGTCATACATGCGAACATGGATAAATTCACCCTTTAGTGAACAAAATAGTACTAGGTACTTTCAAAGAAGTAAAAAATGTCGAACAAACGTTAGTTTTTCTGTATGTTTCAACCAGA